CCTCGGAGGATGTTGTACAAATTGAAATGGCCCTTGAGAGGAAAAAGATTCCCCACCCCTGCTGTACATAATAATAAAAACCCTTTATTTCTAACTTAACATCTCTGTCTCCTATTGATCTGAGTATATTACAAAGAATAGCCAGTTAATTGAAGCATTATAGCACAGGCCTTTGTCAGATGGTATATTACGCTGTTTTTTTTCTGCTTCTAATAGTTATCTCTTTTTTCAGCATACGTGTGTTTGCATCCCTGATTACAGTTTTTGTTTTATCGTAATGTCAAGTTATATCGTTACAATTTCTGTTTTTGAACAGACAACAACTTGAACAATTGGTACTGTGTTTTCAATTACAGGAGATGTGGTTGAGATATCTGACAGTGAAGAGGAGGAAGTGGTCATACTTCATCCAGAAACACAGGACAAATCTTCTAAGTAGGTGCACCAGTTTTCTTTTCTAAATATAGGAATTTAGTTAAAGGGCCCCATTATGCTAATGTCCAGGTTTCATAATTAAAAAGCCAGCTCTGGTCTGATTGGTCAGCTGCTTGGGGTGTGCCGCCCCTTAGACTGTCACGTACAATGTGTTGGATTGCTAGATAATAGAAGCGCAAGTGTTAAGTAGAGATGTCACAAAGTTAGAGAAGTAAACAGAGGACTATAATGGAGGTGTTTCAGACCGGGGGGGGGGGAAGGTGTGGAATACAAACTCCGTCTGGAGAGAACTTTGGGATTTTCGCATTGCAGACCATTTACTTGCTCAAAAACGTATATAACACGCTACAGGAAAGGAAAACCTGAAAAGGCATAAAACGGCCCCTTTAACAACTTAAGAAGGATTGCCTAACTGGTTTAAAATGTACATCTTTTTTTTTGCTCTCAGAAATGCAGCATCCAGTTCCAACCAGAAGGGGGCAGAAACGTCAAAACAAAGACAGAAAAAATGAAAGCAAGAACTCCTTGAACTGTATATAAGGCTCAGACACTGCACCATGTCTTCATAAGGAAGACCGAGGTCCTGGATAAGTAATTATAATGGCTGTGAATTGGGATCAAATAGATGCTACAGAAACACTTTGATTCGGTGATAGTTAAGTTCTTGTTTGTAGCCCTTTGAATGGATACAAAAAAACGTACTGCGCTTGTATAGAACATGTTGTCAAAAATGTTTAAACAATAAAAATATGTAAAAGGTCTTTGATGATATTGAATTCAGAAAATTCTTCTCACCACAGTTTGATGTTAAGCAACCATTTACATTTGCAAACTGATGGATTTTGTGAGCAAAAAAGACAACTGTGTTGTTCAATGTGAAACAAAATAAAAATGGAAATACATAAATATTTATTTTCCGTCAGTTATTTTAGTTTCAATATAACAAATTTAACTGAAAATACTGTAAGTATGCTGATATGCATTTGTATGTGTTCATGGTGGGGGAAAAAAAGGTAGATGTGGCTAACATAATCCTCAGAGTACAGCATTAAACAATGTTCGATTACCGTTTTTTCTGTAAAACGCAATAGAGAACGTATAAAAGTAAAGTTTTCTTCTAATTTGGACCAGTTCAAAAGAAAACACAGATTCCAAAAACGAATTCAGACGTAACTAAAACTTATAGTACTTGAAGGAAAGGTGTAAAATGTTTCCATAAATACCAATATCACACACTACAACACAGAATATAACGATAGTTACGGCTGTAACTACGGTTCTATGGCCCTTTCTCCTACTACGGTTCTATGGCCCTTTCTCCTTTCTCTAACTCCCCTCCTCGACTCCTATCCTTGATACTTAGTCCCGCCCACAGGAGATGCGAGCGGAGGAGCCGAGGAGGGGAACCGAGGAGAGAGGAGGGGAGGCAGCAGGCGGTTAGAGAAATGAGAACTCCTCTCCTCTGAGCGGTCATTTTAAAGAGACGTCCATTAATGATGACAGGAGGCACAGCAGCCCTCTGACTGATGGACAGATGTGTTCATGACGACTTATATATTTACTTTTAATTAATTCACAGTGCGATATAATGAGACACTAATAGGCTACAGATGCGGACACACACACATACACACACATATACACACATACACACACACATATATATATGTATATATTTATATAAATACAATTCAGAATCAAACAGAGCACTCGCATAATAACGTAACACTATCAGAGACTGGATATATTCCCCCCCCCC